TATTTATTTTTTGTATTAATTACATATAGGAAATTAAAACCCAGATTAAATACTTTTTTTACTTTAAATTCTACCATTAATGCACTTATATATATCTCTCTATCTCTCTCTTCCTTTTCCAGCAACCTCTTCGCTCCGACCGCCAAACTTTCACGGTCGGCGACTTTTTTTCCGTGCATTCCTCCAATCAGGCTCGCTCTGGCCATCTGCAAAAAAACCACTCCGTCAGTGCGCTAGTGGTACTCTATTAGTGGTAGTGGTACGCTACAAATACCACTGGTACTGCTACAAGTGAGTAGTGGTACGTAGCCACTATCGCTGGTACCAGATAGAAATCAGTACCACTACTAGAGAATAACATAAAAAACAAGATATGGAATCTGGAAAATCCTAGATCTGGAAAAATATTAAGGGATGAGGAAAGGAGAAGGAAGGGGTGAGGTCGTGACCTCTCGGCTGCAGCAGAGGAGGACAGCGGGAGAGAGATGGCAGTAACAGGAGTTGGAGGGAGGCGAGAGGGCTGCGACGGGGAGAGCGTTATGGCGCGACAGTGGTGGGAGGCGGAAGACGTGACGGCTGCGGTGGGAGGGATTGATGGTGGCGGCGGGAGGGAGAGACGAAGGCGGCGACGACGGGCAACGGGAGGGAGAGACAGAGAGCGGTTAGGGTTCTCGAGAGGGAAGAGAGAGGGGAGAATGGGGAGAGAGGAAGAGCTTTTTTTTTAAAGGAAATCATATTATATAGAAAATGAGAAATGATCATGTGTGGTAAGTTTTTCTCTTCCAAAACATGATCTGCTGTACTTGGTCTGATATAGGAGTTTTCCAGTTCTGTCTTTTCTAGTGACTCTGCTTTTTCAAAGCTTGGTCTTTTTGTGACAGACAACCTGAATCAAAAGCAAGGTTAGAAAGCCCCGAGCATCCTGTTGGTGTTCTTTGAGAACTGGTGCATCTGTTGCCATCATCTCTTTCGTCCGTGCTGAGGCAATCTCCTCTCCTTCTTTGATGTATCTAGAGTGCCATAGTTGCTCCGCTGATCCCTGCCATTGTTCTCTTTCAAGTCCTTCGCTAGGCTTTCTCTTAGGTTTTTCTTTAGCTAGCTCATTAACAGCTTTTTGGATGAGTAGTCTTTGCTCTATCTCGTCAATACTGTCATTGTTCTTTCTTTTTCTGTATTCTGCCTCTTCTAGTTGCACCCTTGATGTTACTGCTTCTCGATCAAATTTAGCTCGTAAAGACTGCCAAAGTTCTCCTGATTCTTCTCTTTCCAAACGACTTTGTCAGGTTTTGGTTTTAGACAAGTTCACTCTCAGTTCTGGACCTACAACATCTTGTCCTTCAGGAGATGGGTTTGGACAATTTATTTTTGGATGCCCAACCAATCCATACGAATAGTAGTAATTGGGCAGTTTCTCATACTTCACTTCATAGGTCTGTAGGGTCCCTTTTAGGTTGAGCTTCATCTCCTTTTTAGCGGGGTTTTGATATCCTTCCCTACCCTTATTCTCAAAACATTGCTCCAGATGCATTCCTATCGACTACAACCCAAATAAGAGTGCCAAACTTTGCTCCTATTTTATGAATCATCTCATTGATACGTAGTGCCGGAGGGAGATTTTAGATTTGCATCCATATTTCCATCACATTATGATCTTCCGCCTTGGCCGTCTCAACGCATCAGCTGGTTTTTATATGATCAGGTTGCTGTCACATGCCAGGGGCCTCCAAAGAGGATTTTATCTCTATCACTCCTGTTCATGAACTGGAAACCATACAAGTGCTCATCTTTTTGATATCTCAAAATATTATTGTAAATTCCATGCTTTTGACAGAGCTATCTCCATGGATTTCAGGTTCGGTTTCTTGGCCGCCACGACTCTTCCCGTCAACCCTAACAGGCTGATCACATGAACCAAAGCTGAGTCAATATCGTCGTACTCCACAACCAGCTCATCATCATCCACCAGCTTGATCTCTCTATCAGTTTTTGAAGAAGCGTGGCAATAACTTCCGGGTTACCTTCATCTTGTTTCTTTCCCGGGGATGAGTCATCTTGTTCTTCCTTCTCATTGGTAGCTTTGTCCTTGTCCATCGTGATTGCACTGCTTAGATTTCAAGTCAAAACTGCGGGGAAAAATATCACTCCCTCACCCTAATCGCTTGAGGCAGGTTAGGGTTTCACAACCAAACGAGACCCAAGAGCTACAATTAAAGCTCTCCTAAAACTCTCACTCAAGATCCTGACTGCAGGAGGCAAGAGAAGGATCTAATATGATCCAAGAGATCTAAACTCATTTTTCAATGCATTTCATTTTGAACCCAAGTCCACTAAAAAAAGCCCAGACACATATATAAGATGGGTAAATTCTCCTAGATAGAGGATCCTTTCTTCCCCTTTGAAGTCTTTCTTTCTACGTTCAGATACACTATTACTTCGTATATCGTACTAATTTGGACGTCATAATGTAGGTCACGGGGAACACCCGCTCCCGCTTCTCACAAGTTCTTTCGCTCACAAAAAGATTAAATAGAGGATTTCAGATCGAACCCAAATCAATAGTGTTATCAACCAAGGTTAACTACATCCCGGGCTCTTAGACCTTTCCTGGATACTCATGGTGGCTTATAGGGCCTTACCCTGCACGGCCTGGTCAACATCCCTAACCTTTTGGGTCATCAGATCGACAACATCCTGGACTCGTCGTTCGCATGCTCCATTTTTTATAGCATCCCAAGTCTCATCTCGCGAATGTGGTTCACTACCCCAGCACATGGAGATAAAATTTCAGTTTGTTCGTGATCGCGTCAACAAACAACAATTACGAGTGCTACCTTCCAACTCCTTATCAACCTGTTGAGGTCCTCACCAAATCATTGACTACCATTTCAGAAGTTTTGTTCCGGGTTTCCGCCTCATTCAACTACAGTTGCTAAGGCATGATAATCCGAGTTGATGTTTTCTGATACACAAACACCTTCTCCATGCCCCTCTAACCTGATTCCCTCGGTGTCTATCATGCCCCTCTGGCATGTGCTCATGGCCATGTTAGTTCGACATCAGGGTATCTCTCACCCTTATCTCGCAGAACTACTAGCAGTTAGGGATGCCTTATCATTTGCAATATCACAAGATTGTCTGAATATCTTCGAAGGCTATGTCAAAGTTGTAATCCGTCAACTTAGTCAATGAATGCTGGTGGACTCGATTGGAGGACCTCTACTTCGGGAGTGTCGTCTTTTAGTTGAGTCGTTCCTTCATCATATAGTTTATAGGCCAGTTCCACGGACTACCAACTGATATGTTGTTTTCTGGAGAGAAAACCTGCGTTGAACAAAATCGGTTGCACATTTGACTTTAAACAGACGATTACTATGACACGGTTAAACCTCTTCAAACACAGTTCGAACGAGAGTGTTTGATTTTATAGAATTTTTGGGAACAAATATACATTAAATTACCTCTACTCCTAAAGAGGATCAATGAGAGCGTCAATCTACGACTACGACTACTTGCATAGGAAAAGAATAAAGTTTGGCGTAGTAGTCAAATGTCTGGTTTTGGAACCTTCTCTCTGTGGACCCTTACTCCTAGGGGTCGTTTGCTTGTTGGATTTGGGTCATGGATTTGGTACCCAAATCCCAAACTTGATGGATTTAACATAAGTCCATTGTTTGTTGAAAGGTGCTAAATCCGTGGGGTCCACGGATTTGGTCTTTATTTTGGAACCAAATTCGTGGACCCCACGGACTTGTAAATCCCACATATTGATTTGGGATTTGCAAATCCTTGATGGTTAGTTATTTATTTAACAAATCCATCACAATCCATCATCAAATCTATCATGCAAACATTAGACTCTTCAAATCCATAATCCAATAAATCCAACATAAATCCCAAGGATTTTGTTGGACAAAAACCCTCATTTTCAAATCCAAAAGCAAACGACCCCTTATTTATAGGCATGGAAAGATAACTGTTGTAGAAAACTGTCTCTTAGATAAATCCCAAAAAGAACCGCTCTCTGCTTCCTCGGAGTGGTGGTTACTCCTTCCGGACCTTCAACTGCCTTGGTGTTTCTTTGGAACGTCGTGGGTCTTGGAGTGTAGCTTGTCTCGGCTAGTCTTGTCCAAATCTCGTGTCATGCTAGTCTTTTGATAAGCACGTGGTGTCTCACAAAGGGGGTTGTGGTCCTCTTGCCAGGCGGCCATGGACTTCTTACTTACGTCCATTGCCTTTTGTCTCATGACCACCTCTTGGGACTTAGTCACTAGTGATATAATGCTCCACCACCACACCATTCTCATTCGTGTTCATGGCCCCCTCTCGTGAGGCGGCATGTCCTTCCCAAACTTAGTTGGTCATGAGGCGGCATGGCCTCTTCATTCGCGGCCGTGGCTAGGGCCTCTTGTCTTGCGTCCATGCCCATTCTCGTGAAGCGGCATGTGCTTTATATTCTAGACGGGCATGGCCCTCTTCGTGAATCGGCACATCCTTCACATACTTAGTGTTTCTTATACAATATCGTGGCATGACATAGCCTCTTACGAGAGGTATGTCCCTTATTGAATGATGTCCATGTCAGTGTCACTATAACTTAGTGGCTTGGACAGTTGGACTTAAAATCAATATCCATAAGGACTAACTTAAATAATAGAATGACGCTTAAAATCTGGTTGTTGTATGCTTTAGAATTAAAAGCTTTCGATTGTGGGTAACTTCACTTCACTTTAGTGAAATTCGGAGGATCTTAGGTAATGGTTGATGTCATCCCAAAAAAACAAGCCACTTTCTCTACATCCTCTCACTTGATGTTCCAAAACTTCTGCCCATGACATCGTTGCATCATCTTCTGCAAATGAGCAAACTAATTGCCGTATGTACTGTAAACAGAAATGCCGACGGCCAGCCATTGTAAAAAGTGTCGGAAATAGAGATGGGTGGGGAGGAGACGAGACACATATATAGAGGAGGAGAGGGACACGTGGGACGAGGTTATTGGCTTGATCTCATTTCACGAATAATATGACGTCGACAATGAGGTGTTTAGGAAAGAAAACAAGCTGATTCTTATTATTGGAGAAATAGACAAAGGTTGCTTGCTGAAAAGCAGAACAGAACAACTCGAAAACAATCAGCTGACGAAAACCAAACCAGGATACTAAAGCTGACCACCCGACCCGACTCGAAATCAGAAAAATGATCAACCAAACCATAGAGACAATCATCGTACAACATAGAGGAAAGCGCATGCAAAGGAGCAAATATCAGTAGCAGAGAGCAGTTTGTTTTTCATTCGTCAATTTTAGAAACAAATATACCAAATGTAAAAACATGCCCTTTCTGCTCTTCCTCTTCTCCTTAAGTTCATCAGTGTTCTTTTCAAAGGTCCAACAGAATGGTGGTCTCGGCGATCATGGATGTGACGACGTAGGGATCATGTTGGAGGCCGGCCTTCTGTCCTCGAAGTAACCCTTTCCATCCTTCTCGGTGTCGCGACCAATACGAACGGAGGCTCCCCTGTTAGCCACACCCTGCAAATTCCCAGACATTGAACGCATTAATCAACATAAGCCAGCCCGGTAGAGCATTAAAACTTAAAAGTGATTCGGAAGAAGGAGAAGGTGAAAGGAGGGGCATTAAGACTTACCCAGGTGAATTTGTTGATGTTGGCGGTCTCATGGTGGCCAGTCAATCGTCTCTCGTTACCCTCGCCATAAGCAGCGATGTGCTCGCTGTGGCGGGCTTCCAACTTCTTGATCGCTGCCTTGATCACATCAATCCCACCGTCTTCCCTCATCGACTTGGTGCTGCATTACACATTCCATGACAAGAACAAACAGATCAGGCACAAAAAAGAAAAAAACCAACTATTTAGATTAGTTCCACGGTAGTTAGCTAGCGCACAAACCTGTAGTTAGTGTGAGCACCAGCACCGTTCCAGTCACCCTGGAAGAAGAAAAATTATAAGACATTCTCATCAGTTCACAACCTAATCGAGATGAACCAACATTGTGACTGACAGAGCTAAGGAAAATGCAAGTGGTACGAGGACACTACAGGAATGGTTAGGGTCAAAGCTGACAACTACTCCAGCGACTTCAGTAATCCTCTGTTCATCAAAGGAGGGAGAAACACAACTATTAATACAAATGACAAGGAAATCGATACAAAGATACTCAAATAGCAAATAGATTACCTCGAGGATGTAACGAGCGACCCACACCTCATCACCAGCAGAAATGCCAACAGAAGGTCCAACCTGGAACTCCCACTGAGAGAGACATGAAAACATTTGAGAAACCGATGATGCATAAACAGAGAAAGGCGTGCGTTCCAAGAAAGAGTGCGTACATACCTGCCCGGGCATGACCTCGCCGTTGATCCCACTGATGTTGATTCCCGGCGTACAAGCAGGCCTTGTAGTGAGAGTCAACGATGTCCCTTCCGAATGCCTTGTCAGCTCCAATTCCACAGTAGTAAGGTCCCTATTACACGGAAAAACAAGTCGAAAATTTAGAGTATGGACTTTCTTTAATAAGAAAGACACAAACTTTGTGAAACAGGATTTCTTGGGTGAGAAGCAATCAAGACCTGGGGTCCAGGGAACCCGCCGGCCGGCCAGCCAAGAGGCCAGTTGCTCCTGGTCAGAAGGGTGTACTCCTGCTCGATCCCGTACCTAACATTATGTCATAACCCACATTAATCAAATTGCAATACAAGTTGGTCAGAAGATGCTTTCACATGCAAAAGGAGTCATAATGACATAATTGAAGAGTTTTTTCTATTTTTAAATAGCGAAGTAGTAGGTAGGTGATGAGAAATTCCACCTAGAAATTGTTAAGAATGAACATGTGGTAGGTGACGAGGCCAACTTGGAATGGCATATGATACTTATAAGTAAGTTACTAACCACTAATGGCCTTTAGAGAATAAAAGAATAAGGGTTGGAATCGAATAATAAGGGCAGAACAAGCAAGTACCATAGACATCACAATAATACAATCCAAATGGAAGAATAGAATTCAATACTGTGCCCCAAACGGCTTCTAGTTTCTATCCTTTTTAGATCAAAAGATGAAAGACATCGTACTATAGCAGCCACTATCACTAAAAGTTTAAAAATGAGACAAGGACCCAATGAAGCCAAAGTTGCCCAATTGATGAAGGGCATACCCTATATAAGTTCGTTCATGCATCTAATTGCTTTTCTCTCCAACAAGTACCAATTCCATCTCAATAACCAAATTCGTGATTTTACTAAAACCGTGAAAAAAACTTCCCAGGGACAAAAATCCATCCTTCCTTTAATATAAAGAAACGCCGAGGCAGGCAGAGCCAACCCCACCACTAGCATCAAATATAAGGCAAATACGGCACCGGATAGGACAATTCCATCCCTCCAACCCAAATCAGAAAGCGACCTAAACTTTTCCAATCATGGTCACTAATTTGTTTCCTTGTGGACAGCAATGATAATGCCACCGAGACTTTCTATGGGCTTATCAGCCTAATCTAATCGTACAAGACACCACCGAACGGCCCACCCCAATCAATATCATTCAATAGCCCACTGGGCCCTACCTTCAAAGACACTGCACTGCCCCTATCACGCTTACCAATCAATCACAAACTCCAATGCTTTCCATAAGTAAAAAAATTTGGCAAATGGGGCCATATAATTCATCGCATAATGAGGACGATTTTGTTATTGTTTTCATAGGCTACTAGTGAGATCATTGCTCAACAGGCAACCAGAATCGTTGGATCAAAGCGGTGACAACATTGATTCAACGATTGCGGAGTGTCCGAGTCCGATCTAATCGGGTTGTAGTGAAGGGTAAAATGGAGAAAATTGATTACCATGGGACCTCGGCTTCAACGTCGGGGTGGCTGAAGATCTTGGCAGCAGCGGCCCTCTTGTTTGTTGGGATTGGCTCGCCGGCCGGGGTATAAGTATCGCACATGACCTATAATTAATAACAACAAAATTATGTATTGGTTATAGTTTATTTAATTAATCAAGTAATTGGGTTGCGTAATTATCTTGAAACTTAAAAAGAGTAAATCACGGGGAAAGTATGAAGTTGTGAGAGAATCGTGAGTTACCAGGATGTTGTTTCCCTTTCTGAAGGGATCCTTGAAGATCGCTTGTGGACTAAAGTCAAACCCAATCAACCAAACAAAAAATCAAAATCCCCAAATTAAAATTCCAGAAAAGATTAAAAAAAAAACGGAGTTTACAGAGAGGGCGGAGGAAGCAGAACGTACTAGAGGATGACTTCGCTGTCATCGCCGGGAGCTTGGTTGGTGGAGCTGCCGTCGTAGTTCCACTTTGGTAGCTCAGACGGTTTGGTCACTGGCTTGGGCAGAGTCTGTGAACCGAAACCAGTGAAATCAGAAACGGAACCAACGCCGTTACGAATCTCCCCGTAGCTAGAAAAAAAAAATTCAACTCACCCTGGCTTTGCTCCTCAGGTCCATACCAGATCCACCAACCCTGGGGAAAAAGAACGACGACGGATCAATCAGATGGTGGTTTATTCAGCTGGACGATGGCGATCGTCGAAAGAGAGAGGGAGATTGAAAAAAAAAAAAAAAATCTTGAATGAGGAGAGTCTAGAACGAACCAGATGTACTCGGCGATGATCTTCTCGGTGGTATCGGAGAGATTGAGGTTGACGAGATCGTTGAGGGAAGCCATGGCTGACCGGAGAACTGGAGGGAAGACCGGAGAGTGAGAGAAGACGAAGTAAAGGAAGAGACGAAGAGTTGGTGTGGAAAAGAAACTCAGTTGGTTCGGTTGTTTAAATAGAGGGGAGGTGACGGGGTCAAAATTAACCTAGATTTCTGTTTTTTTCCCCCCCTACCACCGTAATTAGGGGAATAGTAAAATCTAAAAAAAAAGAGAAAAGAAAAATGGGGAAATGGAAAATTGTTCGTTGCACGTCTTGATTTCTCGTATATTAATATCATTGTTATTATGATATTCTAATCGGAATCCACTTAGTGATACTTTTTTCTGCCGTTATCTCGTTTTCAAAGCTTAATGCGAAAAGTAAACTGCATATGGGAGAGATTTTAAGAAAGAAAAAAAGGAATCTTTTCTGATTCTTAAAAATTGCCTTTTTCTATTTTGTTGTCATTTATTAAGATTCACAATCTTCCTCCATTTATTGCACAAGATTCCATGAATTAGCTACTTAACATATATAAACCCATAGAAATTTTTCAATGCTTTAGAATATTGGAATTTTTCCGTTCGAGAATATTGGTATTTTTATTTTTATTTTTGGTACAACTGTACAATTTTAGTTTATATTATTATAAAGAGATTTATACAAAAGTATATATGTACGACCTCAGGTTATACCATAATGTTAAATGTATAACTTCAGGTTGTACCATAACATAAATACTCAACTTCCCTTATGATACAACTATTTGTTCATTTAACGTTATCATACAATTTCAAATTATACTTTAAATCCTAGTGCAGAATTGGTTTAAACAATAATAATTATCATCTTTGTATGTATGTACATGAAAAAATATGTTATTTATGGGGATATATATGTAGTATAGTAGGGTAGACTTTACCTTTTCCGTGATCAATCAATTCGTATGCTATATGATTCAGATGATAATGCACATAAACTTGATCTAAAAAAAAATCAAACATTTCATATTTCTTTATATATTTTCGTTAATATTCATAAATGTGTTCATGCGAAATTAGTCTAATTCCTACCTAGTCCCTACAACAAGTAATAAAAAATTATATTTGTGGAGTGAGTTATACTAAACAACATATAGAATCAAAGGAGTCATATAGCCGTGTGAATCAATGTATATTCGTAGGAAATAATTACGAGTGGTGTTCTATTATTTTGGGTGATCAATATATTTTCATAATATAAGAACATCTTTTGATAAGTTCTGTGGTGACTTCCTTAAATGAATCCTAGCTTTGGTCGTGCATTGAAAAGTACATGTGTCATGTGTGTTTTATTTGTTTACATTAAAAGATTTATATAATAAATGAACTTTTAATTTAGACGCTATTGGGTGGTTTTAGTTTGTTATGTTATTATTTAGTCAATGAAAAAGAAACTTCCGATCCTCGAATTACAAAATCCTTACTTCACAGTTCACCCTCGTTACAAACCCATTGTTAATTCAGCTTATGCGGGATAATCCAATAGCTATACATGATCAATAGAGCCCTACAAAAATTCCAATTATTAATAAAAATCGATTATTGTTCTGTTGATGGTTACTGGGTTGTATATATGTGAAATAGAAAAGAATTCTTTGAAGAGGGAGGATTTGACAATGTCTTATAAACTTTAACCACAAATATTTTAAAAAAAAAGTATGTTTTACCGTTTATGTAAAAAAATAAACGAAGAAAGCAGCACCAGTTGTTGGAGAGATTAACCGTGATTACAAAGTACAAACCCATTTTTTAATCGGGTAACGCCTGATAATGCAAACCCTACAAAAATTCCACTCGTTAAAAAATGGTTAATTACTGTCTTGTTGATGGTTACTATATTTTATTTTATGAATTTTTTGCTATGTGAAATAGAAAAGAATTCTTTGACGAGGGAGGATTTGACAATGTCTTCTAAACTTTAACGAAATTTTAAAAAACAGAAATCTGTTTTATATTTTATACGTCGAAAAGGAATCGTCCAACGCAAAGGAAAAAGCCGCACTCGAGGCTCTGCATATACAGTGTGTTTTTATCCGTTCTCACAGTCACTCACAGCAATAAAATTGTATTATTGAAGAATCGAATTATTAACTGTTTCTGGAAAAATGCCATACATTTCCCAGCTGGAAAAAGAGAACAAAACTTAGGAAATGAAGATGAAGCTTTTTGTCCGCCTGAGGACCCAACCAATGGAATGGAATGGAATGGAATGGCTTCCTTTCCTGCAATTGCTGACGGATTCCACGAAGCCTTTCTTTTCTTCTTTTCTGAAAAACACACACTGTACACCAAAGTTGGGAATGCGTTCCCACATGATTTCCACAAACCAGAATGTCAAGCTCTCCAGTTTTCCCTGCTTTAGAAAATAACACATATATAAAAAGATTCCTTTAACCTTCAAACATCGAATCGGAAAGCTCAATTCGTTATCCCATGGTGAGTGTTAATTGTTTTCTACATAAGTATAAATGAGTTGGTTCAAATAACTCTGGATTAATAAGAGAAACCCATGGATGGATTTTAATAACTTTGTTACGTGTCTTTTATGAAAACTATCTTATTGGCTTGAAGTTTGAAGAGGCTCGTCATACCATGTGTTTTAAGACTAGGTTAATAATGGGTCGTGTGGACTTTAACGCGTGACATCAAGGGCCAATCAACTCTTATACAATGTCATAATTCGTTTGATCTCAAATCTCAATAACTCGAGTTGTTGGAAGGTGTTCATATATGGATTTTAACCACTTCCTTGCATGTATATTTATTACACGAAAGCGGTTGAGTTCGAATTGAGATTCTTTACATGACCTCTATAAAAATCAGGCTATGTAGAAGTAGGGTTAGGGTCGTCCAATGAACCATCAAGGTTTTGTTCTAGACTTGAGATATGGTCCAATTTTTTAAAGTACAGTGGTAAAATAAGAATGGTCATAGCATCATTATTTTTACAATAATTTAATATAAAAGTTATCTATTAACTCTTCAACTTTTATTTATTGCTAGAAATCATTTCCAATTATCATCATCGTTAACTCATTGAAATTTTTTTGTGTCACTTTATAGCATAAATAGGACTTTGATAACACATAAGACTTTAACGATGAATATGCATATGTCGTTTATATATATAAAAGAATATGGATCAGTGACTAGCAATATTATTAATTAACATATTTAAATGCATCATCATGACAATAATCAAACAAGCGTACAACATAAATTCATCATATATAAATATATAATATATGAGTGGATCAAACTAACAGATCTATGACGAAGCCTCCCTATTATTCGGAGGCTGTCAATCGGAGGTTCTCCCGGCACACGCACCCCTTGACCTGCCATGAGCATAGTGTTCTCTCATTTTCATCACGATACTCAAATCATTTTCTACCATACGATTTAGTGTAGATAAAACGTACATAAAATTATTATAAAATAATAAGTTTAGTAGCGCTATCTTTTGATCAACCCAGATCAAGAGATAGACCATAGTAACAAGTTTTCCCCCATTGGTTTACAATTCTTTTCCCCAAAGTCATTTGAGGGTTTGACTTGACTTTAAAATAGAAATTATCAGTCTTGTCCCCTCAAGTTTTCCAAACTAGCGAATAGACGTCGAGGTAGGAGTAGGACTCGAGCCGATTTGAATAGCCATTATATTTTTTGTCTAATATGAATATATGATACAGAAAGTCTTGAACCCTACATCTTGGCCAAACAACAAAATATGGAAATCCGACTAGTTAATTTGCGTGGTCCTCACCCTTCGCCCTTACTAAATTACTAATGGCTCTTGCCTCTTGGAGGAGAATTGACAGGGGGCCAAGTTTATTGTTTAGAAAAATCTTAGTATGATATTTTTTGGAGTTCAACTTGTAAAACTATAGGCTGTTCCGGCTCAGGGGAGGAAGTCCTTAGACTATTATTTTTTTTAGTCTAATCTGACCCTTTGGATGTGTGTATGATCCGTAAATCAACAAGGAACAATTCAATATTATACGAAAGAGAGTTGGAGTAATTTCTTACATGAATTCGACATCAGACAAAACACGAGAAATTTGTAAGTCACGAGGAGCAATTCAATATTGATTGACAAGATGTATTTTGAATGAAATTGAAGAGTTGTTATAAGGATTGTGAAGTTAAACGTGTTTAAGATAGAGTAATTTATAGATGAGTAATTTATTTAAAAGTCACCATGATGCATCATAAAACAAAGGCGTAGGCTCAAAGCAGACAATATCTCGTTGAGAAATGATTGGATGTTACTGTCGGTCTTCGTCCTCTGCATCAAATTTAAGCCATGAATGTGCATAACTCATAAATGGGCATTAAATTATCAATGCATTTGAATCAAGCAAATAGCACATACAAGTCCTGCTCCACACACTATAGAACATTATGCAAATGACTAGAAATTACTATTCCTAGCTGTTAAGCAAAGGTTTCAAAAGCAGAGCCACAAGTTTGAAACATGTTCTCGTATAGTACAACTATCTATCCAACTAGCAAAGAAGAACTTGATTATTGGAAACTGGAAGTTTTCGGGGAAATAAAAAGTTAATTTTAGGGTTCTTCAGGGGATGGAGAGGGGTGATGGAGCAATTAAGGGTGAAGAGTTGAAGTAAAAATGATGAGAAGTCTATGGTAGAAACAGAGTACAGAGGCTGATAAGAGATTTTTAATGGGGTTGGGTTCATTTCGGGGCGGATACTGTGATATCCGTCCCGACCTATCCCCCAACTTGTGCTTCGGGTTTAACCCGAACCCGGTCAACTCGGTTTTTATCCGTGTTGATCTGATCGGATTCCGGCGGGTATCTGTTCTTTAATTTTTTTTTCCATCCCTAAAATGCAGTAAGCAGAAGGACTGCATAACGTGGATCTGAAAGCTGCGTGTGTAGCCCCTGAAAGTTGTGTTTGCAGAAGACTGAAACCACCCTGCAGTAAATAATAACATAGTAAGGTTTCCAATTGATGAACGCGGTGACATAGGAGCATATCAGAATTGTTACCGACTTTAGAATAAATCGGGGGACTGGTCTCCAGCACCACCAACTTGTACTAACCTTATTCATTGCATAACTTTCGAGTAGTGTATCCTATTTTTGGATGAATGTTTTCTTACTGCCACTGTCTATTATAAAGGAGATAGAGCAGATTTG